TCTGTTTGCCGCCACCACGAATCTGGGTCCATGCAATCATCATCTTCTTCCTGCCTGGATGCCTCTTGAGGTGTCGGTCTCCACCACTCCTCCCCATCTGCCCAGTCTCTGACAGGCAGTGATGGCCACTAACTTGAGTGCCTTCAAAACAGGATTGGGCAGATTCATGGAGGAGACACCTGTCCATGGCTACTAGACATGATGGCTGTATTCTGCCTCCACCATCAGAGGCAGTAATGCTTCTGAATATCAGTTGCTGGAAACCACAGGAGGGAAGGCGTTCTTGTGTTCAGGTCCTGCTTGTGGGTTTCCACATGCATCTGGTTTGCCCCTGTGAGAACAAGGTGCTGAACTAGATGGGCCATTGGCCAAGACCACCTGATCACTTTGAAACAGTGCCAAGCACTCACCTTGCTAGGTCCTCTGCAGTAAGACAGAGCACCAGCAGCATAAACTGCTGCTCCCTGCAGAAAGATAATGAAGAGCCTTTGGATTTCACCCCATGCCTGACCTAAAGCAGCTAAATAGGTTCCAATGTGTTATGAAAAAATGCCCCAGTTTCTCATCTAATAGGCCATTTTTTCACTTTCTGCATAATTTGCAGAACAAGCAAAAAAAGCTATTATGTAAAAAATGAAGGGGGAGAAGTAGAAAAAGAGCCCAGCTACAATTTGCTCTCATTAGGAAACCGGAGAAAGACATTTCCTCCTCTTCAGATTTAGGGTGGTCAGAGATGCAAAGGGAGGACAGAGCTACTGTATCCTAGATAGCTGTGCAGAAGAAGGGATTTCTGTGGAGGCCACTTTTGCTCAGCCCTGCATGGCCCCCTTCAGCAGGACTGTTGCAGGGAAAAGGGGGGGGTCCCTGCTGTCCTTTCCTGCATCCATCACTTTGTTGAGTCCTGCAGAACAAGAATTCCTAAACCAGAAGTGGGCAAAGGCTGTATTCCCTTCTGAGTTAGGTGTCAGGAGCCACTGGCTATGGGCAGGGCTGGAGCCAAAGCTGGGTTGAGTCATGTCTCTCTCTCCCCATCTCTTTCTCTTTCTTCCACCCTCTTTTCTCCCTTTCCACCACCTGCATGAAACTAAAACAAGGGCCACATAAAGGTATGCTTAGGGTAACTGGTTACCCACCCCAGCACTAAGCCAAAGAACTTGGTAGCAAACCAGTTTGCATAATGATGGCTCAGCAGATGTTGGACAACCTCCCTCTCTCCGCTGTCCCAACCAGTTAGTGAGCACAGACAGTTTCTTAAGCCCTTAGTGGACACCATAAAATATGTTGTATGTTGTGCTTGCCCCAAGGGCAAACCTATTTTAGGAAAAGGGAAACAAAGATAGGTTGCAACACAACTCATCCTGTACCCTAACCAAAACAGGTCTGTGCAACCTGTGAACTGTCAAGCTGAATCCAGCTCACCCGCCATGCTTTGTGTCTGCCAGTGGCTACATTATCTCCCTGGCTATGCCCCTTCCAGCCAAAACATGGGGGCTGCCAAGCATTTGGAAAACCATGTTGCAAGGCTGTGCTTCGTAGCTCACTATTTGTGCAGGCCTGAATGAAGCTCATGCCAAACGGCTTGCAAACTTGCGAGCTGTCGTGCAGCAAATGAATCAGCAGACAAGTCACAGCACAATGAGGACTAGAATCCAGAAGATCTCTAGTGTGTGAAAATGTCCCTGTCACACCTCTGCTCTATAACTATCCTTAAGAGGAATGCCAGGTCAAAAGGTACACAGAAGCAAAGAAGGGAGAATTATACTAGGTTCAGGTTCTGACATAACTGAAACTCAGTGGTAGGAAAAAGTGAGTTGCCCAAACTGTCTGCTTCTTCAGACCTTTCTCTTGCGACTCCATGAGCTGCTTGCACCTTACTGCGCCTGATTTAAGGGCACACCTCACAACCTTTTTTAAACCTACTCAAACACAAACATTTGTTAAGATGTGTCCAAACTGCACAAATGTTGGCGAAGGGGGAGCAAGGGTCAAGAACCAGCCACTAGAGGGAGCAAGAGAGCCAATGTTTGATCAGGAGGGTTGTAAGAGGTGATTCAGAGCCTTACCAGGGTGTTCAGAGTTCCCACTCCCAGAACTGAATAGTCCAGTTCTTCCCTGCATCCCCTGGGGGATTCAGCAGAAGGCCTCGAGGAGAGGTGCAGCTGGAATGGTGCACTGGGGCAGGTGCAACCTTCTCATCCAGAAGAAGGAAGCAGCTTAGGGAGGCCCTGGATGAGAGCCTGAGGTTCCTGCAGAGCCAGGAACTCGCCCCCGCCCTTCAATTTCCCCTACAGCAAATGTTAATTATACATGAAGGTTTGCCACAGCAGAAGGGATTATAATTAATTTATATTTGAACTATAATAGATTTCACTACAAACTGCATTTCATTGCATCAAAGAGTATTATGATGGTTGCTTTGCTGTCAGTAATTTACATAAACCAACCACAAAACACTGCGTCCATTAATCCTGCAGTGAGGATGAACAGAAGGCAGATTGGTCTATTTAGGAATTATTATTTTTTTAAAAAAGACGAAGGGGATAGAAAGGAAAGAGAGGGTAGGAAGTCTGATCCATCACAAGCTTGCACATCTCCATTAAGTTAACCCAACATGAGAAAAGTTTATACGGAAGCTAGAAAAGCAGCAGGCAGCACTCAGTCTGGATTCCGAGGGGAAATTCAGGCATGGAGGGATGGTAAGAAGTGAATGTAAGAGTGATTTATCAGATCAAAGGTGGTGGCAAGCGAATTTTTTGCAGAAATATCACGTGCACATATATGCATGCACACAGGATCAGGGCAGGTGAAAGTGGCTTTTTCAAGTGTGTGTGCATGGAACCATAGAATTTTCAGATTTGAAAGGGAACCGATAATATCATGTAGTCCACCCCCTGTTCAGTGCAAGTTGCATTGATGCAGTTTCAGCAACTGCAGTGACATTTTGACAGTGGTTTAGGGACACAGAATATTTGATTGGTTGGTTGGTTGCATTTCTGTCCCACCTTTTTCTACAAGGCTCTCAAGGTGCCTTGCATGGTTCTCCACCTCCTCATTTTATCCTCACAACAACCCTGTGAGGTAGGTTGGGCTGAGAGTCCGTGACTGATCCCAGGTCACCCAGTGAGTTTCATGACAGAGTCAAGATTTGAACCCAGGTCTCCCAAGTCACAACTGGCTGCCTTAAGGTGAGTCAGATTCTTGATCCATTTAGCTCAGTGTTGCCGACACTGACTGCCAGTGGCTCTCCAGAGTTTCAGATGGGATATTCCCAGCCCTGCCTGGAGATGCTCGGGATTGAACCCGCGACCTTCTGCATACAGAACAGTTGAGCCATGCTGTCATCATCATTTCATAGGCAGCATTGGAGAAGGGGAACTGGCTCTCCAAAGGCTACAATGGACCCAGAGACATTCCGCTTCTTCCAGCAAAAGACAAGAAAGGGCCTCCATTCTACATACAGAATCTGACTGGATTGGCAGCTGAATCTTAGTTCAGTCCTGGCAATGGGAAAACATCCTCCACCACAACTGAGGCCAGGAGGCCAGATTAAGGGATTCAGGACAGGTCATGTGGCATACACAGCTCTGTTCTCTTGACATGGCTTCCTGCCAGTCCAGCATTTACCACCTGAAGCAGCTACCTCTCTCTGTCTAATGGCAGGGCCGGCCTTGAATGATCCTGCTACAGTAAAGGAGGACACAGTGATGTCCCACTGTTGTTGCTGCTGCCACCACCACTTTCAAAAGGCACACACTGGTCTCTGGAAATGTTACACTTTTCACTGCTGCGTCTCCCACTATTCTCCACCCAACCTCCTCCTCCCAAACACCCCTCCCCACCACAAAAGAAACCAAGCAGAACTCAAGTGTTGCAAACTATTAATTGCTTAGTTTCATTAAAGGTTGTGAATGTTTTTGCACAGGCAATTTTTCTCACAGTCACGCTGCTTGATGGCTTGTGTAGTCATAAGCAGCTGTTTTCAGAATATCAATAGTGTCCATCCTGGGGAATATTAGGAGGGCAGAATAAGTTACTTTGTAGAATAGGTTGTTTGAACAAACCAAGAGGAAAAGTTTGCTGGAGACTTCTTCATAGTACTGAATTCATTCCAGCTGGAGTTTCTGCTGTCCCCGCCACCTCACTGTCTGTTTCCTTCAGATCAGACATATCCAGCTCTGGGGCAGAGGAGTTCTCTCCATCCATGCTGACCCTCACCCAACTGCCCTCTGAAAAGGGCACGCTGCCTTGTCAGAAGCTCAGCAGCTGCTGTAAACAATGAAGTGGAAAGGTCAGACCTGTCTTCCTCTGGCTGCTTGTGAGTGTGCCATTCGTGGCATGGCATGGCCACTTTTTTCTTTCTGCAATGCACGTGCCATCGAAGAAGGCTGCAGGAGAAATGAGCAGAGCAACCCCCAGAAATTAAGCTTGGCTCTTTTTGAAAGGAAGGTGTGGCAGAAGCTTCAAATACAGGATGCTGACTTTCCAGGACACCATGGATAGGAATTTAGGGAGCCATTCTAAACCCATTCAGACCATTGATCCATCTAGCTAGTCTGCACAGACTGGCAGCAACTCCCTGGGGTTTTAGGACATTCCTAGAAGGCTGATCGCTGAAGAATTGATGCTTTTGAATTATGGTGCTGGAGGAGACTCTTGAGAGTCCCATGGACTGCAAGAAGATCAAACCTCTCCATTCTGAAGGAAATCAGCCCCGAGTACTCACTGGAAGGACAGATCGTGGAGCTGAGGCTCCAATACTTTGGCCACCTCATGAGAAGAGAAGACTCCCTGGAAAAGACCCTGATGTTGGGAAAGATGGAGGGCACAAGGAGAAGGGGACGACAGAGGACGAGATGGCTGGATAGTGTTCTCAAAGCTACCAGCATGAGTTTGACCAAACTGCGGGAGACAGTGGAAGACAGGAGTGCCTGGCGTTCTCTGGTCCATGGGGTCACAAAGAGTCGGACACGACTAAATGACTAAACAACAAAAGCCCTACTTGGAAATGCCAGGGATTGAACCTCAGACCTTCTGCATGCCAAGCAGCTGCACTACCACTGAGCTCTTGTCACTGAGCCCTGTCTCCTCCTGCCTTGTTTGTTTGCTTGCTGGGTCAACTTTTCTGAAGGGGATGAAGTCTCCATGTTGAGTGCATAGCTTCCTCTCTCATTATCACTCTGTTGTTTCTCACACCTCTTTTATGGGTGATAAAGCCTTTGAGGACACCATTTGCTGCTACATTCAGAACCTCCAAAGGATTTTCAGTTTTTAATTTCATCCTTTTGGGTGGGAGGCAGCGTATGATGAAAAAGCATTTGCTGAAAAGCAGCCCTTGCATAGATTGCGAAGGATGTTGCAGAAAGGCTTGCAAGAGATTGCATGTGCACTGAGGGCAAAGGGGGTGACCTGAAGCCACAGACAATGGGGACTGGGCCCTAGGGCCAAGAGGAGGTTCAAGGACTGTGAGTGGTCAGCTGGAAGCAGTGTTGGATTAAACGCTGTGGAGGCCCCATGGCAGTCAAAATCTCAGGGGGCCCCTCACAAATTATCTCCTAATACTTGATTGTAATTTTCTTTCAAGATCAAATCAATATTATTTTGATCCATTGTTGCTGGGGCCCTAAAAGGCATGCGGCCCATAGCCTACTTTGCCTATTTGGGAAGACTATGTCCAGGTTAAGCTATGTCCAGAACAGCCGACAAAGATCAGAGGGGTCAGAGGCAAGGGTGAAGTGAGGTCAGGCAGAAGTCAAGGTCCAGACCAGCAAGTTCTTCTTATGTCCTTCAAGGGAGATTGGAGGGGCTCAGAGTTAGGTACATAGTCAAGCTCGGGGTGATGGGCAAATTCCGAAAAAGGACAAGGTAGGCCAATCACAACACAAGCAAAATGTGGGAGAAAATTGCTCTTAGGGGTACAATTCGGAAGCTCATGCCAAATTCTAAATTTGCATGGCTTTATCCAATAATACATTACTGGACAGAGTTCAAAAAGATCTGTGAGAGAATATTTATTAGCATACACCCTATATAGAAAATAGACATCTTATTGGCTGTTTATTCTCTAGCCAAGCACCAGCTGCCACCTTCTGCCACCCCAGCACCTCACCATCTCTTCATCCAACCATAGTCCTTGAAATGCAACTTCACTCAATTCATTTTTACTGCCTGTGTAGAGCCCTCCTTGCAACTTAGCTGATGTTGTTTTTCACTCTAACAGCCAGCATTAGGTTACTCCTAAACTAGTTCTTACAAATTCTGTGGTCAGATCACACTCTTGCATACATGACACTGGCCTCCCTGATGATGGGTTTTGCAGAATTTCTACCCCAAAAGCAAGGCAATGCAAGATGAGGGAGGGGGAGAAACTGGGGAAAAGAGAAACTGACAGAATTGTCCATTACTAGACCCTGCCCCTTCTCTCTCCACACTCATCTCTCTCTCCTTGGAACAATGTTATGGCAACATCCTAAGCACCCCAAACCCTGGGAAATGCTGGTTACCCTGGGAAAATTGCAGTTTCCATGTCCCCCAGACCCTCAGATGCTAGCAGCATCTGAAGTGCCAGAGAAGGAGAGACAGAAAGACTTCTCACTTTCTCTGCTCCCATGTAGTTTCCAATGCTACATAAGAAAAAGAAAAACAAGCAGTCAAAGGTAAGCGTGTGGCTTGGATTACAACCAATGTGTTGGCGCTCAGACTGGACCACAGGCACACATTATGAGCATGCCAATTTCATTTTCCAAACCAGATGGTTGTGCAGTCCTCCACCACCGCAATTTGCCGCTTGCCTGCACTGTAACTCTACTTCTACACCAAGACTTGATGTTATCCTCCAAAACTTGGACTGCATGCCTGCTCAGTGTTTTGCAGGTGTGCCTGGAACAACCAGCTCTCCTTTGGCATGAAGCCAGGCAAAGCCCACTCTAGCCAGACACAGATAAGAGTGCTCACCTCAACCAGTCTTAGAGAGAAGGAGGCAATAACACACCTGGCACTCTGGGAAGGTCTATGAAAGTAAAAAGAATAATCATCAAAGAGTTGTACACATCAGAAAAGCAAACAAGGCCTATGAAATATACATGAAAACACACTAAAAACTCAGCCCTGGCATTATCTCTCTCCCACGCAATCATTAATTCATGCTCTGTCTTGGCTACAGCAAGTGAATCCCTGTAAACAAGTCCTTTCACCTGTCAAGTGACGCCAGCTTACTTTGACTACTCCTGCCTTGCCCCACTTCTTGATGGCAGGGAAGTTCCAGTCTCCTCTTGGCTGATGTAGGCACATTTGAGTTAGCATATGAGCTGAGTAACTCAGGCACAAGCCTCCCTGTTCCTACACTTCCTACCTTCAGCGCCAAACCCAAAGGCTCCTGGTATACTCCAATGCATTGTTGCTCAAGCTTGACCCAGTTCCCTCAGCTGCTGCTCTTGGGTTGCAGGTTGCTTGGCTGCTAGCCCCTGCGTGGCAAGGATGCCATCTTTCTGCTTCTGTGACTGGTTTGTTATTGCAGCCCCAACTCCTTCAGGCACAAGCAGGGAACCTGTGGCCCTCCACTGTAACGTCCACCATCCCTAGCCACTGGTCATGATGCCTATTCCAAAAGGTCAGCCCCTCGCCCCCTACCTAAATCCCAGGGCTATTCCCCTCTATAGGAGGGCAAAGCTTTGCATGCTACATGGCCTGTTGTTGCAGTGCAGGATGCTGCTCCATCACCACTATTGAACTGCCAGTCCAGCTAGCTTCTGTACACTGGACAGGGAGGAGACACCACCTTGTCCTTTGCCTCAGGCAGCAAAATATCTTGAGCCGGCCCTGTTGCTTGGTCACTGTCACAAGTGGCAGCTGTCATATTCCCTACTACCATCAGAGGGCCTCACTAGGAACTATGCCACATCAGGAATTCCATCATCCCAGAGGTATTGTTGTGGGAAGAGGGGTGTCAGTAGACAACCCATAAATGCAAGGCGGGTATTTTCAGCTCAGATTTTGTCTGACCCAGTAGAGGGCAGTTTCTTGTGTTTTATCCCTTGACCACACAAGGTAGTGCATGAAGCTGAAGGAGGAAGTTGGAAGAGTAGCTTTCTTCCCCACTTCCTCTTTCAGCTCAATGTGCTTTTCAAGACTTACATTAATTCTATTGGATCCAACTTTTGCACCAAATCTTTGGAGAAAGCAATTTGTGTGCACTTTCTTTCTGTCTCTCTGGGGTAGGGCAGGAAAGAAGTGACCCGTGTCCACAGCGCTTGCTCAAAAATCCAAATGAACCCATAAACCTAAAACAGTTGCCAAGCCCTGATCTTGACAGCCCTCTTGCTACCAACCCCCCTTAGCAGCAAACACCATCCACCCCTCCCCCATTTCCAACTGTTTCATACTGCATGAGAGACTTTATCAATCAGACCCAGAAACCAATCTTCTCCTAGCCTGCAGCAGAGTCTCCATCAATCACATTTGTGAATAACCGCACTAGAAGTCTCCGCACAGCCTTTTCTCCACTGGCGAAAGAGTGAGCAGCAAAGAACAGCGAGAACGTCAGCGATGGGAGGGGGAGGGCCTGCACATTCCTAATATTGATCATTTACTCTAAAAGTCAAGTTTGAGGGAGAGAGCATTAAAAATGTTTTATTTTTCCTATCACCCTTCTGAGATGAGGAGAGATAAGGCAGGGGCCAGGCGATTAGGAAGAAAGGGGATCTCATGAGCTGATGATGATAGAAGATCCAGTGGGGGAACTCCAAATAGTTGAGATGCTGGTTTGCTACTGCTTCTTGCACTGATGATGATGATGATGTGTTGGGTTGAAATCACGACAGACGAATGGTGGGTGTCAAAGGAGAGGCGTCTGCCCGGGGCAAGTCCCGGGGACTCTCTTTTATTGAATATTACAAACATTGCCACAGGTGTGCTTGTGGCTGATTGGCTGATACAAACACAAAGCATCTTGTTGCTGATTGGTTAACATAGGTACAAGGCGGGCGTTACATTTTTTACATTAATCAGTGATAGTTCAAAAGACTGGGAGCGGAGCTGGAACTAGACAGGCATGAATCCTCCTAATTAAATTGTAACTAAGATTAATATAACATGACTAAAACAATTACTAATGATTGATCATAAGTGAAAGGTCCGTATATGTGGTCAGCTATGCATTGAGAACAGAGCATGTTGTGAACTCAGAATGAACTGAAGAATTGAGGGATTGTCTGGGTGTCCTGAGCTTGGTGTGTTTGGAACAGTATGTGCAGAGCAGAAGGAGACTTCCCAGAATCCAAGAGGAAAGAAGCAAGAGTTCTCATAGTAAGCATAGAAAGATTGCATAGTAAGAGTTCCCATAATGCCACAGTTATGTGCAGTAAGAGAACTGCAGAAAGAGAACTTCCCTTCATCGATGAAGGGAAGTTCTCTTTCTGCAGTTCTCTTACTGCACATAACTGTGGCATTATGGGAACTCTTACTATGCAATCTTTCTATGCTTACTATGAGAACTCTTGCTTCTTTCCTCTTGGATTCTGGGAAGTCTCCTTCTGCTCTGCACATACTGTTCCAAACACACCAAGCTCAGGACACCCAGACAATCCCTCAATTCTTCAGTTCATTCTGAGTTCACAACATGCTCTGTTCTCAATGCATAGCTGACCACATATACGGACCTTTCACTTATGATCAATCATTAGTAATTGTTTTAGTCATGTTATATTAATCTTAGTTACAATTTAATTAGGAGGATTCATGCCTGTCTAGTTCCAGCTCCGCTCCCAGTCTTTTGAACTATCACTGATTAATGTAAAAATGTAATGCCCGCCTTGTACCTATGTTAACCAATCAGCAACAAGATGCTTTGTGTTTGTATCAGCCAATCAGCCACAAGCACACCTGTGGCAATGTTTGTAATATTCAATAAAGAGAGTCCCGGGACTTGCCCCGGCAGACGCTCTCCTTTGACACCCACCATTCGTCTGTCGTGATTTCAACCCAACATCTGGTGACCCCGACGTGCCAGATCCCTTACGCAGCCAAACCTCATACTTCACCCGACTGGAAAAGTCTCAGCGCGCTACTTCG